TATACGCCAACACAGGGGCTGATACCACGTGGGGGTTGTCGCCGTGTCTATACGCCAACACACGGGCTGATACGACGTGTTGTGCGTGTCTATACGCCAACACACGGGCTGATACGACGTGTGTGTGTGTGTGTGTGTGTGTGTGTGTGTGTGTGTGTGTGTGTGTGTGTGTGTGTGTGTGTGTGTGTGTGTGTGTGTGTGTGTGTGTGTGTGTGTGTGTGTGTGTGTGGTTGTCGCCGTGTCTATACGCCAACACACGGGCTGATACAACGTGGGTGTGTGGGTGGGTGTGGGTGGGGGGTGTTTGTTGTCGCCGTGTCTATACGCCAACACAGGGGTGATACCGCGTGGGGGTGGTCGCCGTGTCCATAAGCCAACACGGGGGCTGATTAAACATGGAAGTACTAGTACACTATCGCTTCTGTGTTGTGTTTCACAAATTTTGTAAATTCCTTTGTTTACAAATGTTCCCGATAACCTTACATAAATCGTAATCTCCTGTCCGATTTCCTTTGCATATCAAGTTACCGAATGAGTCAAAGTTCTCAGTCATGCATGATAAATAATCGAGACCTCCTACAAATGATTTATCAAAGTCTTGAATTGGTAATTTGTATAACTTTCGACTATATTTGAAATATTGCGAGGAAACATGGAGCCATCGTATAGTGTAGTGATTACAATATATGTACGATTACACACAGAGAGACGGGGGAGATGCGAAGAAAGGTTAGGTGAGGTGAGGTGAGGTGAGGTGAAATTGGGTTTAACGTCGTGCTTAAGAACATTTTGCTCAGATGACGACGTGCATGTGTGTGTATGTGTATGTGCGGCTGCTTGTACTAGCCCAGACTAAAGCTGGTTTTATAGTGCTAGCCCACTGAGATACCATGCCGCAGTGAAGCATGAATACCCCACTCAGACACATTAAAAACAAAAAAACAACACTTGGACGTAACAAGTGGGCACCTGTACCTTAGTGGCAGTGTTTCCAAGTAAACATAACGTGCAGTTTTGCAATCGATTCTGCGAAAACGCTATAAGCATTCAATATGATCCGGGACAAGGTGACATGCTCGTAAACCAACAGCTGTCGCAGAAAAGAAAAAGTATTATGTTTCGGGTATTTTGATTCGCCGAAAATGGCGTCACGACAACATGCTGTTGTCTTCAGCATAAACGGTATCCTTGCACAGTGGTTCCCCAATGTTTAGCGAGCTGAAACCTGCGATAGTGGGTTCGAATCCCACGTTCAGCGTTGTTAATCGTTTGTGGTTGGTCAACCCCTCACTTGTCATGGATTTTTCAAAAGTAGTTCAGATCGGGCGTCCACCTTTCTATTTTCTGCTTCAAAATCGACATTTGGCTTGTTTAACAGGTCAAATTGGTTTTGGGCCAATGTCTATGAAACGAATTAATTTTAAAATGCCGAAACGTGAAATTCGTTTCACTATAGTTGTGGTGGTGAACTATGTTCTGGATCGCGAACAGATATTGAAAAAATGGTGTCTTATTTGAGAATGGTGTCTTTATTCAGGACCGACTGGAAATAAGAAACATGTACATCATAACACAAATGGCCTCTTGGGAATCACGTTACCTCTTCTCTCAGGTTTTCCCGGGTTCAGTCTATTGCACAAGCGGTACTTGGGCTTTATAACATGTTTTAACCAGCGTTCCTGGCATTGCTGTTAATCAGATGCAGGGACTGGCAGACCATTCCGGATGTGACCAAAATACACCACGGCCGTCTGTATCACTGATTGATGTGTAGGTCTACGACCAGTACACCCGTGTTTGACAAAAGACATGTTTTTATACGTTTACAGAGATCTGGCGGAAGCCGGGCCCTATTCATTTAGGTTTGATCCGGTTTGTGAACACGTGTGAGGGACTAAGTATCTTCAAATATATTCCCTTCCAGCAATTAAATATTTAAAAAATAAAAACGGAACTACAGGTAACCCGACTGTATCTTAAATTAAAATGTCCACAATGAAAACCGCTTCAGAAATATACCGCTACACTCCATTATTTTCTGAAGAAATTGAGAAATCTTGGAATGATATGGTATTAGATGTCTAAATATAGAAATTCCTGCCCAATATTGTTGCCGTTGCGCTCTAATCATGAATACATTGCAGGTCTCCCCCTCAGAGATGTTGCTGGAGGGTTACAAAAGCGGCCTAAACCCAAAACCCAGCTACATGTATCTAATTATGGTATTTTATTCTTTCAGTTTTCTTAAAATAGAAAATGTCTCGGTGCTGACTGAAGCATTTCATAAAATCATAGAAAACAAAAATTCAGCTGACGGCAGATTTTGCAAATGTATTTAATTTGTTAACTTTGGCAATATTGTCAAGAATGAAGTTAGTGCATCTTCGATAATCTCCAGGGTATACGTTCCGAAAAATCTCCACTAGTGGAACGTATACCCTGGAGATTATCGAGGATGCGCTCAGTGTACTTACGAGATATAACTTAAGCAAGGTACGGCGTTTAAGCTAACATTTAAGCAAAATGTCTGCGATCTTGATTTTATGCCTTCGGTAAAAAAGCCGTACATTTTTTTTTAAAATTACAATTATTTTAAACAATAACTTTCACCATCTCATTGCTATCGCCGAGGTTAAAGTCTGGTTTATCTTTTTACAATTTTTAATGGATCAGAACAGAACAGAACAGAACAGAATTTTATTTCAGTAACAGGCCTCCGGCCCAAAATACATGTACATAAATTGATGATAAGTAGAGCACATATATATTTCATTTAGATTTGTGTTTCTTGTCAACAAAGTATAAAAATAGACATACATCCTTGATAATATTAACATTTTTACTCTGTAATATTGATATAAAATTAATAATTGATGGACATTAACTAAAATATTTTGATATGTACCTATTTCTGATATGAGAATATGCATCACAGATATAAAACACATGCCTTTCATCTTCAACAACGAAGATACCATTTAATTTACAAAACAGGCAATGCCTTTCATTATATGCAACATCAGTGTATCTGCCCGTTTCAACTGCTAGTTTAAAATTACAGCACCGAAATCGGGCATGAATAGTTTTAAATATTGAGGGATGTCATTATTTATCAAGTAGCTCTCAACATTTAACAAAGATTTGAATTGCTTATAGTAAAGACATTTACAGTTACTGTACAAAGATGAATGCCAAGATTGAAATAAATTATCATGTAGTCTCTGTTTAAATGATTCCATAAATATTTTGTGGCGTTTCTTTCATATTACTATCAGTTATCTGCTGTGGCATGACAAATTAACTATAGTATAATGTAAAAACCGACTGATTCTTCACTTGATTACCCCCCTTTACAACACTTGTTTTGAGTAGAACATTGGTGACAATATAATGACAATATAGAAGCAATATGGTAGAATCTGTTTTCAACTGTTATACACGTTGGTGTGTATCCCGGGTATGACTGATTGTGGTGTGTGGCTGGTCCTCGCTGGAAGTGTCCCTGCTGCTGGGTCAATGAAACAGATAAACAATTTCAATAATTCTTAGATATCGCTGATAAACACAAAGCCCGCCGTAAGATTCCAACCAAACCACATTGGCTTGCATGTATTGCTGAAAAAATACGTCATGTATATAATACGTCCGAGGTCCAACACTCGTTCTCTGATAGCCAGTTACTTGTACTTATTTATATGTAATACGTCCTAGGTCCAACACTCGTTCTCTGATAGCCATTTACTTATACTTATTTATATGTAATACGTCCTAGGTCCAACACTCGTTCTCTGATAGCCATTTACTTATACTTATTTATATGTAATACGTCCTAGGTCCAACACTGGTTCTCTGATAGCCATTTACTTATACTTATTTATATGTAATACGTCCTAGGTCCAACACTCGTTCTCTGATAGCCATTTACTTATACTTATTTATATGTAATACGTCCTAGGACCAACACTCGTTCTCTGATAGCCATTTACTTATACTTATTTATATGTAATACGTCCTAGGTCCAACACTCGTTCTCTGATAGCCATTTACTTATACTTATTTATATGTAATACGTCCTAGGTCCAACACTCGTTCTCTGATAGCCATTTACTTATACTTATTTATATGTAATACGTCCTAGGTCCAACACTGATAGTTCTCTGATAGCCAGGTCCAACACTCTCGTTTTTACTTATACTTATTTATATGTAATACGTCCTAGGTCCAACACTCGTTCTCTGATAGCCATTTACTTATACTTATTTATATGTAATACGTCCTAGGTCCAACACTCGTTCTCTGATAGCCAGTTACTTACTTATACTTATTTATATGTAATACGTCCTAGGTCCAACACTCGTTCTCTGATAGCCATTTACTTATACTTATTTATATGTAATACGTCCTAGGTCCAACACTCGTTCTCTGATAGCCATTTACTTATACTTATTTATATGTAATACGTCCTAGGTCCAACACTCGTTCACTGATTTATAATTATGTAGATGGCTGAATTATAAATCAGTGAACGAGTGTTGGACCTAGGACGTATTAGTTTCAGCATTACAAGCCCCTGTGCACCATAATCGTTTGTTTAGGAATCAGTATTACATATTAGTGATGATACCACGTGTTCGCCGAGAGGTTAGCGTATCCTGTCATATCGGTGTCACTAACACATGCAAACGCAAGTCATATCTGCGCTTAACAAATACCAGAACGGTACAAGGCAAATGTTAGGATATTTAAGGATCAGACATTAGATGCGTAATACGTAGGAACGCTGTTCAAATACTTGTAAAGTGTTAATAGAGCATTGGATGTTTGAAATGTAATCCTGCATCTTCTGAGCGTGCAGATTCATACCTTCCATGTCCCTATCCACTATGTTTCGAAATTTATATTGACTGACTCACAGCCTATGTATAGTGGACGCTCAACAAAAACGTCTATCGCGGATCGTTATCGAGGTCACGTGACAGGTATTTCCCAGAAAGGTCGGTTTCTTGGGGATTCCCAATCGAAACGAAACTAGATCACCGAGCAGAGACAGATCTATTAGCATTACTGGGAGTAACATCACGATTGTGGAGTAACTAGTAACAACTGCTGCTCGTGAATATTTCCGTATCTTAAGAGGTAGGTAGTTGTCAATATTATCGTAGCAATACATCGCTGCCAATGCGGAAGTAAGGAGGCCACGCACACACGGCGCTGTGCCCCATTTTAACGACCGTGCAGGGAGACCTACTGATATACGTATCATATGCAATGCCCACGTTCAACATGCACATCGTCACGAAGTAACAGCTAGTCAGTTGTTTATTTGTGTCAAAGATTTGTTTGTACACCTGTCTGATAAACTGTGACATGTTCAGCGTTAAGAGTGTACTGTATCGTTATCTTGGCCATGAAGCGAACAATACTGGCTACCGTTATCGCAAATTGAAACTTGTTATATTTTTACGTGTGTTAGGTTATTTAGACTTTGTCTTGTCGGTTGCTTTCCTTTCCATTTCTTATACCTCTCCTTACTAACATGAAAGTTTACCGCAGCCTGTTAGTGCTATTTTTAGAAGCGTTGTAATTCTTTCGGTATTGCGTATGATATATTTATATTCATTTCAAATTAGGTCCAGTGTAATTTGACTTCAGAATCTTAAGCGATGAATTCGTCCATTGTCGGCGTCCCGATAAGTCAAACTGGTGTCCAATATGGCGGTTGTTGCTGTATATGAAAACTGAAAGCCGAGGTTTTCTGTGGGGAATTTGTAGTAACATGATATAGCCTGATCCATAACTCCCGTATCAAGCTGCTCATGTAGAGCCAGGGGTCAGGGATATGTATCATTGTTCAACAAAATGTATTACGATATATTACGATGTCTAAGAAAATAGTGTAAAATTCTTATAAAAAATCACGTCAGACTACAAACTCAAATACTTGTAAAATATACATCTGGACAAATTAGGTTTACATACATACACTGATAGTAGTGAAAATAGCGCGTTCCATGTGTATAATTTTGTCTAATTGATGCGTCGCATTTGGAAATATCCATCATATGTCCACCTTAACCTTTTTGAAAGTTTTACTGGGGTCTGTTGATGTAACCAAGATCAAACAAATGTTGAACAATGCCGTCACATGACGCAGTCTGAAATCTTGGCGGAAAGATGCTCGATTATACCCGATACGTTGTGACATGTTTACACTGGAGGCAGGATACCGCTCGACACAAAGCGAACGTTGACGATTGAAAAGCTGAAGTCAACCATCTTCTCAGACTCTCTTGTGAAGATAATTTGTTACTTTGAATCTTATTGCATGGGTCCAAGTATGAATAATGAGGCGGTTTCACCAGTGTTTCTCTTGTGTTAGTTCAAGCATATGCTTGGAATGAGAAATCCGTTGAAATAAACTAAAGAGAAGCAAGGTAATTATTGTGTGAGTTGCGTTAAATACAGCTTTGAGAAGTGTTCCTTTTATTTGATATGCTGGTATTATAAGAACAGATACTATTGGGTAAGGTACTGGGTACGATCACAGGCCCTCGTGTCTTTGCGAGAATTGAAGATTAAAAAAATGAGATGACCCCCGACTCAAAATGCTTCACAGTACAATAAATCATGATTTAGTATCTCATTGTTTTTGTTTGTTTGTAATATTTAATCCTCGCAAATACGCGAGGGGGTGTGGGTTCGATTCCCAAACATGGCTGCAATGTGTGGAGTCCATGCATGGTGTCTCCTGCTCGAATGTAACTAAAGGTAGTGTAACTGTATGAACAGATGTTGATAGTGACTGATGACGTCCGAGAAGCAGCTGAATGTGTGTCACCCAGGACTAAGGGAGCTTCCTGTTGTCCGAATCATGTGGAGTTGGTGATGACTCTGCCTTTGTGATCAACGTACTCCGTCCTGTTTAGGAAATACGTATACCACTCTCAAACACACTCATCTAGTAGCAGTTGTATGAGATTCAGGCGTGGGCGTGTTGTTCAGCAGATCTGTACATACATAACGTGACACCTTACTGCTGAATCTGTCCTAGTCTTAAGGATTGGGCATTGTATATAACATATCTCGAGAAGAGATTATCCTTGAGACTGTTGAGGAACGTATTTTGCCTCCGAGCTAGGCCAATGTTTGCTTTTGCAGCAGTAGCTGAGAAAATATCAAATCTGAATAGAACGTTCCAGTATGTGTGCTTAACTAGTGCTTATGTGTTGATACCTACTCAGTATTTAAGTGCTTATGTGCGCATGTCTACACAACAGTGTGATACTTATGTGTACATGTCTACACAACAGTGCGGTGCTTATTTATTGATCCTACACAACAGTGTGGTGCTTATGTGTACATGTCTACACAACAGTTTGGTGCTTATGTATTGATCCTACACAACAGTGTGGTGCTTATGTGTACATGTCTACACAACAGTGTGGTGCTTATGTATTGATCCTACACAACAGTGTGTTGCTTATGTGTGCATGTCTACACAACAGTGTGGTGCTTATGTGTGCATGTCTACACAACAGTTTGGTGCTTATGTGTGCATGTCTACACAACAGTGTGATGGTTATGTGTGCATGTCTACACAACAGTTTGGTGCTTATGTGTACATGTCTACACAACAGTGTGGTGCTTATGTATTGGTCCTACACAACAGTGTGGAGCTTATGTGTGCATGTCTACACAACAGTGTGGTGCTTATGTATTGATCCTACACAACAGTGTGTTGCTTATGTATTGATCCTACACAACAGTGTGTTGCTTATGTGTGCATGTCTACACAACAGTGTGTTGCTTATGTATTGATCCTACACAACAGTGTGGTGCTTATGTATTGATCCTACACAACAGTGTGTTGCTTATGTGTGCATGTCTACACAACAGTGTGGTGCTTATGTATTGATCCTACACAACAGTGTGATGCTTATGTGTACATGTCTACACAACAGTGTGGTGCTTATGTATTGATCCTACACAACAGTGTGGTGCTTATGTGTACATGTCTACACAACAGTGTGTTGCTTATGTGTGCATGTCTACACAACAGTGTGTTGCTTATGTATTGATCCTACACAACAATGTGCATGTATTGATCCTACACAACAGTGTGTTGCTTATGTGTGCATGTGCATGTCTACACAACAGTGTGGTGCTTATTATATTGATCCTACACAACAGTGTGGTGCTTATGTATTGATCCTACACAACATGTGTACATGTGTTGCTTATGTGTACATGTCTACACAACAGTGTGTTGCTTATGTATTGATCCTACACAACAGTGTGTTGCTTATGTTATGTATTGATCCTACACAACAGTGTGGTGTTATGTATTTATGTGTGCTTTATGTCTACACAACAGTGTGTTGCTTATGTGTGCATGTCTACACAACAGTCTACACAACAGTGTGGTGCTTATGCTTATGCTTATTGATCCTACACAACAGTGTGTGGTGCTTATGTATTGATCCTACACAACAGTGTGTGGTGCTTATGTATGTCTACATGCTTATGTATTGATGTCTACACAACAACAGTGTGGTGCTTATGTGTTGATCCTACACAACAGTGTGTTGCTTATGTGTGCATGTCTGTGTGTTGCTTACATGTCTACACAACAGTGTGGTGCTTATGTATTGATCCTACACAACAGTGTGGTGCTTATGTATTGATCCTACACAACAGTGTGGTGCTTATGATCCTACACAACAGTGTTGCTTATGTATTGATCCTACACAACAGTGTGTTGCTTGCTTATGCTTATGCATTGATCCTACACAACAGTGTGTTGCTTATGTATTGATCCTACACAACAGTGTGTGCATGATCATGTCTACACAACAGTTTGGTGCTTATGTATTGATCCTACACAACAGTGTGGTGCTTATGTGTGCATGTCTACACAACAATGTGTTGCTTATGTGTGCATTTCTACACAACAGTTTGGTGCTTATGTGTACATGTCTACACAACAGTGTGTTGCTTATGTGTACATGTCTACACAACAGTGTGATGCTTATGTGTACATGTCTACACAACAGTGTGATGGTTATGTGTGCATGTCTACACAACAGTGTGATGGTTATGTGTGCATGTCTACACAACAGTGTGATGCTTATGTGTGCATGTCTACACAACAGTGTGTTGTGTGTCTACACAACAGTGTGTGCTTATGTGTACATGTCTACACAACAGTGTGGTGCTTATGTATTGATCCTACACAACAGTGTGTTGCTTATGTATTGATCCTACACAACAGTGTGGTGCTTATGTGTGCATGTCTACACAACAGTGTGTTGCTTATGTGTGCATGTCTACACAACAGTGTGTTGCTTATGTATTGATCCTACACAACAGTGTGATGCTTATGTGTGCATGTCTACACAACAGTGTGGTGCTTATGTCTTGATCCTACACAACAGTGTGTTGCTTATGTGTACATGTCTACACAACAGTGTGTGTGCTTATGTGTGCATGTCTACACAACAGTGTGGTGCTTATGTGTACATGTCTACACAACAGTTTGGTGCTTATGTGTACATGTCTACACAACAGTGTGATGCTTATGTGTGCATGTCTACACAACAGTGTGATGCTTATGTGTGCATGTCTACACAACAGTGTGATGCTTATGTGTGCATGTCTACACAACAGTGTGATGCTTATGTGTACATGTCTACACAACAGTGTGGTGCTAATGTGTGCATGTCTTCACAACAGTGTGGTGCTTATGTATTGATGCTACACAACAGCATGGTGCTTATGTGTACATGTCTACACAACAGTGTGGTGCTTATGTGTGCATGTCTACACAACAGTGTGGTGCTTATGTGTGCATGTCTACACAACAGTGTGGTGCTTATGTATTGATCCTACACAACAGTGTGTTGCTTATGTATTGATCCTACACAACAGTGTGTTGCTTATGTGTGCATGTCTACACAACAGTGTGTTGCTTATGTATTGATCCTACACAACAATGTGGTGCTTATGTGTGCATGTCTACACAACAGTGTGGTGCTTATGTGTGCATGTGCTTATGTGTGCATGTCTACACAACAGTGTGGTGCTAATGTGTGCATGTCTACACAACAGTTTGGTGCTTATGTGTGCATGTCTGCACA